TTTTTTTTTTTAATAAACCACAAATGCATGAGAAGTTGCTCACTTCAGAAAAGAATACCAGAATCTCTACTAGCTGACACATTTCTACCCTTGCATGAAACATTCTGTCATAGAGCTCAGTCCTAGCTTTAAAATACTAAAGATAAATTTGCATAAACATACATACATAGCTAAATATGTGTATATCATACTGCAGATATGGAGATGACCACTTACCCACAACGATGTGCAGTGCTGAGGTGACAGGGTCATTTGAGCCAACTGTTGCGTAGCATATACAGTCAGTCGAACCTGTTTCAAAAACACATTTCATGGGTCAGGGGTTCAGAAATGGCCTAAATCCATCTCTCATAATTCACTCTGAAGGTTAACGTATGAAAATCACACTTTCATTTTCTATTTTGGTGGCACACGGGGGCAGCTGCAATCTAACCTTCAATTGTGAACACTAACCAAACATCACAAGCCAAAGGAGTTTTTGGTCCATTCAGCCCTTGTGAGAATAAGAAAGTTTTTTTCGATCTTGAAATGATTGTTACTGAAGCATTGCAGGGCACTGTTATATAGAGAGATGAGATTTCAGATGAGTTCAGCTCTCTTACTGTCTCTTATATGCTGTCTGGTAATCTAATTCCTCTTCCTCAAATTGCTTATCTAACAGCGTGAGGTTGAAGATTTAAAAACACACCGACTGCAATCTGCAAACGTGACAAACTGAATATTTCATGATCCCATTATTGTTTCCACAAAGGTGGAAAAAGTTTATAGTTCATGTTAAAAGTTTATATATCATGATAAAACCATTTAAAGAGCAATAAACAGCATGTTGCTTAAATGTCAGCTCCGTAATGTGGCAGTACCATGATACAGTGACCGTATTACATAACATCCATATACCAGGTGTAACGCCTGGACAAATCAGACACACAATTATTTGTTATATTTAACAAATAATTCCTAACACCCCTCACCCAACCAACAAGCCAACTATGAGCGTCTATGGACCCTTCCCCCGAAATGCAAATAACCCCACAAGGACAGAACAGACTGTGTATAAACTTTACAACTTGTAGACAGAGTCTCCCTCTTACTTAATTCCCACCGAAACAGACACATACTGCATATAGAAAAGGTCTCCTTTCATTAATTCATAGACAAACTTTCTATGAATGAACATGCCCCTGGTCATTGTGTGTATTGTTACTCTTCTTGTATATTGTCATTTGTATTGTATACTGTTTTATGCATGCTTAAGATAGAACCACTAGTTAATTAGTACATTTTAACGTGGTACTTTTTCAAATAAACATGATATGATATTATAATGTTAAAATACCATAGCATGTTTTTTTTGTTTTTTTTTGTCAGTGGTTTCTAATGCTTTCATCTCTTAGACATTGAAGTTGAAGATTTGTCTCAAATTGCCTTGTTGTTCAGATCAGTTGTCATCCAGACACAAGATTATGGACCATGAGCTGTTCGTAGAAACTGTCACTAGTCCTTGCGTGTCTGGACAATGTGAGATAAGGCCATAAACAGACAGAATTACACACGCTGATAACGTAACTGATAACAACCTGGACTCTTAAGGGTTGACATTGTCAGGTTTATATGGCAAACAGTAATATCAGAAAACACGATTTGAGAAGCCGCATTCATTAAAGGGGTCATATGATGCTTTTTTAAAGATCATTATTTTGTGTATTTGGTGTAACAGAATATGTTGACATGCTTTAATGTTCAAAAAACACATTATTTTAAAATACTGTACATTATTGTAGGTCCTCTATGCCCCGCCTCTCTGGAAAATTTGAAATTGCATCATATGACCCCTTTAAGTTATCAATTGCTGGCAAAGCTCTTGTGAAGGGCGTTCTGCAGTGCACGACAGCAGTCTATTTGTTCTGCTCGTGCTCTTTCAGGTTGGTCATTTATTAATAATGTCTTTGCCCAAGTATTGACCAAGTATTTTTTTCCCTATTGTCTGGACTTAAAAACTTTGAAAAGCACAGTATGTTTTATATTCTAAATCTTTTGTGTGCGAGTGTGTGTGCAAGGCTGCATTAAAAAAAAAAAAAATTACAGTAACATTGCATAACAATTTAAAATAACTGCTTCCGATTTTATTGTATTTTAAAGTTTTATTTATTCCTGTGATGGCAAAACTGAATTTATAGCAATCCTTACTCCAGTCATCAGTGTTACCTGATCCTTCAGAAACCATTCTAATATGCCGATTTGGTGCTCAAGAAACATTTCTTATAATTATCAATGATGAAAACAGCATTGTTGTGCTGCTTAATATTTTTGTGTTAACGGTAGACTATCCACAAAGGAATCAGAATGTATTAAAACATTTAAAAAAGCTAGACGGAAATTTATTCAGCATTGAGATGCTGAAAAAAGCAAGACGCTCTATAACAGCCAGAGATATTAATCAAGCAACTTTACATAGACCCACAATTTAGAAATAATAGTGCATACAGATGCAAACATGTTCTGTGTGAATGACCCGATAGAATTTGATCAAAACATTGTATCATCGAAGGCAACATAATGTTGCTTTCCATTATTTGAATAGCCTTTATATAATGAGTGCACCTCTGATGCCTAAACATGCTCTTTAGGCAGCTCACTAGGTTTTGGAAGAGAGCTATAATCTCCCGCGGTTCTCCTCTATGATGCAGCTGTGCCCATGAGCAGGTGTAAAACTTCCAATGACTTGGAAATATCTCAAAACACAAACGCTGTAATGGAACCGTGGGTGACATATGCCTACAGGAACACTGCCAAGGAAGTGACGTGCATGAAAAAGCAATGAAATGCATTCCGAAGAACTGTCTTGGCTGTATAGACTCCAAGATTTGTGACTAAGTGATTCCCAATCCGGGAGCATCACCAACACTGCACATTTTGGATGCCTCCTTTATCTAATGCACCCAATTCAGCTCATCAGCTTTTTAATACTGAGTGCTCATGAACTGAATTGGGTATGTGAAGGGACATGTACCAAATGTGTTGGGTACATGCTTGATTACCAGGATTGGGTATCACTGCTGTAGACCAACCTGCAGGAATGATGCCGATGCGAAGTCCACATGGCATAAGGGTCTCCTCCATAGAGTTCTCGTCCACACCTGCTTCTCGCTGTGTACGGGAGACAAGGCCATGCATCATCTCGCTGAACATGCCATCTCCTCCAACACACACCACACTGCAGACAGAGACAGCACTAATCACTTCAATGCATATTTGTTTAAAACAAAATTTTCTGTTATGAATGGCAGAGCACAAATTTTCATATTAATGAAATTTGGTCATATTACAAAAATTGTCAAATGCTCTGCACAAATAAAATTGACAAAGGTAATTGCTACCATATTTGTAACTAAAATTAAGTAAAAATATTCATGTTATTCTCAGGTAAGATGACGATAGAGCCTTCTCTGTGTGCCCCCCTTGACTTCATTGTGTGCTTGCTTTCATCACTTTTGTTTTTGTTCTTTTCATTGTTTTTTTGTAGTGCACTGGTTTGTTAAACTGAACAGCCAAAGGGTGATCTTTTCACCGACTGCTCAACACCAGTTCAACAAAATGCGGCCAACAGAGACAGTACAGAACACACTGCAAAAGCTGATGGCTCAACAATGGCCTGACTTTGACCAACTGCCGACCATCGGCTTGGTGCGTCACGGCCTTAAGCGGTAGCAATAGCAGTAAGATGGAAGTCTTGTTGCTTGTGAGAATAATAGATGTGGTACCTGTACCGATAAAGTTCCGCAATTTTATGAGCTTTTATGTCTGAAAGTGGCTTGTGTCTAAACTGCTGTTCACAGAAATGCATGTTAAAAGGTACAGGAAAAAGATCCAGACCCAGCAGTCAGAGTTGTTTTGTGAATCTCGCCTCTAGCCCAGCTTTGAAGCAGCATCCATGTTGCTGTCACCAAAAGCCACTTTATTTTCATTCGTCATTTCCCAAGCTGCTCGCCGTCATCTGCCGCAGTGCCAGGCTGATGTGCATTGATGTGCAAATGTTAATCTGAGCTTTGCTGCAGAGGACGCATTCCTCACTGGGCAAATTAAGAGTCGCCGCTCAGTGACCGTGATCTCCCAGCAGGACACCCACTCACCCGTCATACTTCTTCAGATCAGCCTCCGTCTTCAAGTGGTCCCTGGCATGATTTGCACGTTCGGTAACTATAGAAACAAAAGAGAAAAAGTCATTGTTAACGGCGACGATGACAGTGAGGCTGAGCAGAGGGGGGAGAAACATCATTATGTTCATCTGGCAGTTAAATTGCATTTTTCTGCTGGCTTGATAGAGACCATCAATCAGCCACATCAAATGATGAAGCTGAAGTTGGGGTAAAAAACAATACCCAGTATATTTCATTACCGGTTCTTTACCATCAGCAGTGATGTAAAGCCGTAACTCAGAGGGATGTGCTGAAAATGAATGGGGCCTAGGACCGAGCCCTGTGGATCACGTTGATGATATATGCCAAAGGTGATGAATGGAGCTTATTAAACCGTCGGCAGAACATCTTGTTTGGCTCCTCTAATGATTTGGTTTGCATGGTATTTGTCCAGCCAGACATGTACTTTACCATTTACAAAATGTTCACATGGTCGTAAAAAGAAGACCTTCAAGCAACTGCTGAGTAAGACTGTAAGCCTCAGCTCTAACAGCCAATGTTCACGCCAACCCAGGGACTTCCTCCCTCAAACTTAATAAATAATGGATGTCTTTGCATTCCTATGTTTATCGACTATCACAGTTTGCATTATGGCCAGCTCCGGTGATAGATGGCGCTGTAAATAAAATCATATTCGTGGGATGGGTTGGCAGGTGGGGCCATTTGCCAACGGAGATCTATTTGCGAAGCATAAAAGCTCATTTTTTATTTAAATGTTAATGCAGGCGGCTGACGGGCACTCACCAATCACGTCGGTGGAAACGGAAGCCCGGGAAAAGATGGGGGCCACTTTGTGGTCGTAAATCTGCTTCCCACGTTGTTTTCCTCCGTAGGGGTTGATGTACACTAGCAAATTCTTCGGTCGATTGGCTGCGGAATGAGAAGCGGGCAGAGCATTAAAGTGAGTTTTCGTTTGACAACAGTCATCCTAGGCTGTCAAAACTACTTCATTAAGTTGCTTTTGAAAAACTTCATCTGATGTGACAACATAGAGAAGACCAAAACTGTACTTATGCCTACACTAGAATCCAAACACCCCAAAACTTTCCATAGGATTGGTAAGAAATATTATGGGTTATTTCAAATGTACAATTATTTTCTCAGTGTTCTAAACTGGCGCAACAAAGTGGAATTTGCCTGTCCACACTTAGAGCAAATCAGAACATATTTGATATGTAATATACAGCTGGATTAAGATTTTTAACCAATAAGATTCCACTTTGGGCGGAGCTACTGAGCACAGATCAGAAACAAAATGGCTAACAGAAATACCAGCTACTTTGGCAGATTAAAACACAGATTAAAAGGGAAGAGAGATTTTATCACGCTATGTCAACAAGGAATTAGTGTCCATTATTTATTTATACCATAATTATGTACAGTACCAAATGTGTGGTAGTAATTGACTATAAATGAATGAAAAACATGTTTACAGTAAATTCACATGTAATGGACACCGAGCAACTATTTTGCAACTATTACTTTTTTCAAAAGTATAAACATGTTACTGAGGTACACACAACTGGTATGAAAATCACTGACCGACCTATAACAATAACTTATCTTTTTTTGCTATAGTGTGAAGTGACATGTGGGCAAGTGACGTGTGGCCAAGTATGGTGACCCATACTCGGAATTTGTGCTCTGCATTTAACCCATACAAGTGCACACACAGAGTAGTGAACACGCATACCGTGAACACACACAGTGTGGAGCAGTGGGCAGCCATATTGCTGCGGTGCCCGGGGAACAGTTGGGGTTTCAGTGCCTTGCTCAAGGGTCTCATCTCAGTCGTGGTATTGAGGGTGGAAGAGAGCGCTGGTTATTCACTCCCACCACCGACAATTCCTGCCAGACATGAGACTCGAACCTTCGGACTCTCTAACCATTAGGCCACAACTGACCCCGCCCCTTGCTATAGTTTATCTGTAGTTTATTATTTTACAACAGTAAACTTTTCCGATACAGAAAATAATAATAATAATAATAATAATAATAATAATTATAATAAAACGGTTCAGGACGCACTCAACAATGCAAGTTGTTCCCTAATAGTTTGGACCCAGAGCAGACACATGGAATGTTCAGAGCAGTGGAAAGTCACATTGCTGCACCGCCAGCAGTGCTGCCTCATCCTCTCTACGTAGAACACTGCAGAGAAACACAAATGAAAATGCCACATTATTCCAAAAACTAGGTAAAAGGTGACCTGCATGATCAGTATCATTCTGATAATACACTCACAGCATATAGATAAAATAACAAGCTATGTATTCCCCTGTTATCAGGGGCCAGATAAGCAGATGACAGTCTGATTATGATGGTGTACCTGTGAAAGCGTGCTGGCATGAGTCCGCTGGGCTCTGAGGAACCTTCTGCCATTTCCCAGTGTCTTTACAAGGAGAGTCATCTTCTTTTTCCTGAACGGCTATAATTTCACACACTGGGACACAATGACTACCTGCGTATAGAAGAGCAGTGGGTCACATAACATGAGAAACATAACACCTCACATTTTTTAATTATTATTGAAAATGCTTTTGACTTGAGTTTGCAAAATGTGAGTTTTGGGATTTCCAGGTGAAGTCGACTGCTTCATTTTGTTTGCTTTGCAGTAAGACACTATGTAAATGTCAGTTTCCATCATCTCTGTCTCTGTGCTAGGGAAAATAGCTCTAAGCAAGAGTTTTTTTTTTTTTGCATTCTGACAGCTTGTGCCCAAATGAGTCAATCTCGTGTTATGTTACATAATGCAGGCTTTCCAGAAAACCCCTGAAGAGAAAGTTAATGAGGTTTGACCTTATTCAAAAGATCAGAGTTATGTGGATTAGAATAAAGTACAGCTTCAGAAACTTTACTTAATACCCAGATAAACCTAGAGTAATGATTTATCTTCATTAAAACTTCATGACACATTTATGAGACATAACAAGTGTATTTCATTTTTATACAGCCTAATTAAACCATTCATATGCCCAGATGTAGCCATAAACTTAACAGCATAATAACATGGAAACATCAACCTGATAAAAGTTTCATGATACTTGTATTAGGGAGTTATTGTATAATGCATGAGGTAAAAAGCTGAAATGTAAAGGTGAAGCAGTAGAGTTATAGAGTTCATAAGGGACTTTAGATGCATGTTGCATTTATTCATAGTTTTCTTAGTTTAGCATCCACTAAGAATATCTGACCAAATAATAATAATAATGATACTAATAATAACAACAACAACAACAATAATAATGGCACTGTGCATGGAGTGTATTTGGAGTGTATCGGGTAGAAAACAGGGTTTGAAATTCTTCACCAAGCAGTATTCTGTTGGTCAACACGGCAAATCTGTTTACTTGAACCTGTTGCGAAATCTGCGTGGGTAAATCTTTTGCCCTGATATGAAATTCCTGAACGCTTGGATTCCTTTTGAAATTACTGGATTTTGCCTATGAAAATTCACAGAACAACAGTTAACATGACTGCACAATTGTATTTATTTATTTATTTTTTTATATTAGTATCAGCAAAATACCGAACATAAAATACATATTACATATTATGTGTGCTCTTTTATTGCGATTTTTTGCAGCACTATTGCCAACATTTGGGTCAGAATAATTTAAAACATTTTGTCAAGAAATAAATATTAAATAATTACACAAAGTAAAAAAATAAATATTAATGTAAAAAAATATATATTAATTAAATATTTGGTTAGAGGATTTTAAATAAAATAGTTTAGAAGTTAGTTTAGGGTTGAATATTTAGCCTAAATCAAGTTAAATTAACAGCGTCTAACTTTATTTTTTGCAGCAAATGTTGTTTTGGGGTTATAGAACTTATGTTTCCCATAAATTTAAGAATACAAGAAAAAAAAATAGTTATTTGATCATTAACAATATATTTGTAAAAAGGGCTGAATTACAGTGTTGAACGCTTGATGAATGCCGTTAACAGTATAATTTGGTTTAAAAATGAGAAAACAGAATGAGAGTATTTACTTGTCAATTTTCCCCATAAACAAAACACATTCTTTTGATCCGATCATTTACAATCTATTCACCTCGTTTAATTTATTTCAACTAAAATTCTCCCACAATCACCCTGTATGTGATTATTTAAAAAAACAATGCACACACACATCCGATTACATAAAATGTTCCGATTGCTCTCATTTATGTGTTAAGTATAGTAACTACATTAAACAGAGGCAGTAAACTTAATGAGGATACAGGAAATACCACTGAACAATAGTTGACATTCCAGGGGTCCTTGACCATAATATCGCAGCTCTCTCTTCAAATACAAATACACCAAAATATATTTGCCAAATACACCATATGACTCCTTCCCAAAGATGGCTCAATGATGCAACAATCTGAGGCTGTATACTCTCAAATACTTTTCGAAAAAAGTTGAATTAAATTGAGTGATGACTTAAATAGCAAATAATTACACATCTCATTCCTCTTCAAACTTATAATGTTACATAAAGCAGAAAGGCAATTGAGTTTCAGATCTGATGAGAATGTGCCACATTAAAAGGGAGGATTGTTATAGTTATGAGACTAACTTCATTACACAAAACTAGCATGCATGTAGAACTACAGGATTTCACAAACCGAGTTTAGTCAAATATGGCTTGGTGTGTCTTCAACATGTCCAAAACCTAATGTGCTACCTACCCAGGTATCAAAAAAAAAAAAAAAAAAAAAACGGGGGAAAAATTTATTTTTGGC